AGTTCTATAGACAGCGCACTCTCTAATGCAAGAAATAAAGACGTACTCAACGGCATCGACTTTGTCTTGTTCTTCTGGTAGATTGAACCGATTCATCGTTTACGATAATCGTTTGGGGAAATTGTTCCCAAATTTTACCCCATCTATCTTTGATAGAGCAAAACGGTGGGTTTCGAGTTTTTAGTTTCTGTTGGCGAAGAGGATCGATCGCACCAGTTGAGTTTCCGTTGATTTTTTGGTTTATGTCATTGGACACACCAGTTAGCAAGAGTTGTGTTCAGCTGTTTAGTTGTATAATTCGGAGTGTTTTGGTGATCCGTTCAGCAGAGTCACGTATAGCTCCTTGGGGTAGCGGCTTTTTTCCGACTTGCATTTTGCCATTCCTCTTGGGACACGAGCACTGTGACGTCGCTTCTGTGTGACCAGTGTGCCTTGATTAGGTTTGAAGGACGATCACATGCTAGTCAATCTGATTTAGTGCTCCAGTGACCTCGCATGGCAGACATTTTCTCCTTCAGCCTTCGCAATTTTCCTTGGGCTCAGAGATGGTCAAGCAGACCGGTGGAGAATCATCCCTTGCTGAGATGCCGGCATCTGAAAACACCTCCTCTGTCGAGGAGACCAAACCTTATCCTAGTTTCAAGTGTTGGAATATATATTAAGGCTCTGAGGGCACGGGCGCTTTCAACCTTATGAAAAGCACTCTGAATGCTGGTGCATCGGCTGTTACCTACACTATGAACGGTGTTGGTATTATACATATTAACGATTTAGCTTTTACAGTCCAATGTACTTAATCCGAATTAACAACATGTAAAGATTACATTAATATGACAGAAAGCGGCAATGAGACGAATCGCCACATTCTTCAGGAAACCAACCAATTGATACACTTGGTTCTCTCCCAGACTGATTGGTCTACACGTTTTCAATAATACGCATGATGGATTAGCAAGTTGTTAGCAGCAACGCAACAAACATGATTTGATAATAAATAACCCTCTACCAGATTGCTCCATCATTTACTGGAACTACTCACACGAGTAGAATGAGAAATAACAGGAGGCGTAATATGCTCCTCCGAAGCACTCGTCTCAACTAAAGACTCTTTACATGCCGGCCGCGGTGACATTCTTGTTGGCAAAGTCCCAGTTGATGATCTGCCAGAAGTGCTCGACGTATCTGAATGTAAAACCATCACCAATCGACCATCAGAATCTACAACCAACTACTTCGGTCTAGCGTTCCTGTAGTCAATGTAGTATGCATGCTCCCATACATCACAGTTGATAATTGGGGTTTGACCATCCCTCAGAGGACAACCAGCATCATGACCTTGAACCTGACCACTCGCAAATCCCGATACCACAATACCAGCGACGGTATGAACACAAAGGAGCGCCAGATGATAGTAATAAAAATCATAAGAGATCGGACAACGAGAAGGATCCTCGAGAATATACCATCGAGTTTTCTGTCTGCAACTCTTTTGCCGGCAAAAGGGCACCAATGGCCGTAACGCGAGATGAAAAGAACAAGAAGATACTAAACGGAATTCGGAGTAATACGCCAATGATGAACTGAAAAGCCAACTTACAACTTTAAGTTTGCCATTATCAGCAACAAGCCATGCCCAACCACTGCCGAAGTGACCAACAGCAGCAGCGGTGAACTGCTTCTTAAACTCCTCGAAGCTGCCGAAATCTCTGTTGATAAGATCAGCTATCTTCCCAGTGGGAGCGTTACCGCCATTGGGAGATAGACTGTTCCAGAAGAAAGTGTGGTTCCATGCCTGACAATGAAGCAAGTGAAAATCACACGACACAAATGTCCCCCACCTGAGCAGCCTGGTTGAACACTCCACCACTCTTAGTCTTGATAATTTCCTCCATGGACATCTTAGCAACTTCACCATCCTCATCGCAGATCTTGTTGAGATTAGCGACATAAGTAGCATGATGCTTGCCTAAACGATAGTCGAATACTAAGCAATCAGAAGAGAGCATTATGTACCATAGTGGTACTGAATAGTCTCAGCAGACATGTGGGGCTCCAAGGCATCTTCAGCCCAAGGGAGAGGGGGGAGAACATGAGGTCCAGCAGACATAGTTTTAAACGGCTTACTCAACAACAATGACTAGAACCAAATTCATAAACCTCGCATGCTACATAGAGTAATGAACGAATTGGAAGATGCCACGCTTTAATATTCCTGACGGAATGAGACACAAAGAAGACATCACAACTGGTCCAGTGCACAATCCAGTCTCCTGCGCCGACGACACTGAAGAACAGCTATGCTGCTAGGCAACACACACTGAAATGGGACATTCGAGCAAATTCAGTTCACAGTGTTGGATGAGACCTGACCGATGTTGTCGTCATGAACCAGAATTGTGGTTACCTAAATGAATGCACTACGACATTCGGGCGAATGGAGACAACAGTCCAGTCAGATGCTGAGAACGATAGCACACAAATTGTCCTTTAACGGCGGAAAATCTGTAAGTGAGGCTTGCTGGCTGAGCCTGCACAGCTCAACTCCTTTGCACATGGGAACAACTCGTATCCCGTTGACAGGCATGACGCACATCACAAACAAGAAAATCTCATCTATCAGGAACTTTGAAAACTCAACTTACACAGTGGGAAATCTTACAACGACTACTTAGAAAGTTCGACTGACGTAACCCCGACCAACGTCAGTGCAAGGCTTTGACAAGTGGAAGCAAATCACTTGAAACATGTCGAACGTCCCTGACAAACCATTTATTCAACTACATTTCAATATGCAACATGATGAGTAATTCATGATAATGTTCCTAACCAATGCAATAGAAAAGAAGCGTTCTCCCCAATTGAATCACAACTCAGACACGGTTACCATTACAAAGGGAACTTTGCTGAAATCACTGGAACAGACAACCAGCAATAGTATTATATCTCAGTCCTTTCACAGTAGAAGGAGAAGGTGGCCTTATAGATGCCAGTGCATGAACATATCACGAATCCAACCATCACAGCACATTTTTTACGCTGAATCACAGGATCCAGCAGCCGTTTAAAGACCAGCCTTGGCAACATTGTCATTGACGAAGTCCCAGTTGACCAGATTCCAGTAGTTCTTCACATACCTGAACAAAACAGTTGAAAGGATCTTATCCAAAGGCCATAATCGTACTGTGCTCTAGCGTTTCTGTAGTCAATGTAGTAGGCATGCTCCCATACATCGATGTTCATAAGAGGAGTCTTACTCTCCCTTATCGGGTTGCCAGCATCGTGACCTTGGACCTTAACACGATGAGAAAGATGACAAACTAGACTGATGTCGACGATCAGGATGTGCAAGCCACCAAAATTGACCCGCTTCTTACAATCTTCAGTTTGCCGTCATCAGCAATGAGCCACACCCAACCACTGCCGAAGTGTCCGACGGCAGCAGCGCTGAACTCCTCCTTGAACTTCTCGAAACTTCCAAAGTCGCGAGTGATGAGCTCGGCAATCTTGCCAGTCGGCTCTCCACCGCCATTGGGCGCCAAGTTGTTGAAGAAGAATGTATGGTTATAAACCTAAAATGAACATAAGACGAAGCACAACGGGATTACAAATAGACTCACCTGAGCAGCCTGGTTAAAAGGCTTGCCAGTCTCGGTCTTGATAATTTGCTCCAGGGTCTTGCTGGCGATGGTAGAGTTCTCAGCAGCGATGCTATTCAAAGTGTCAACATAAGTTTGATGATGCTTATCTGAAAACAGAGAAAATGACCGCGTAAAATTCCAACCATAAATCAACAGCTCACCATGATGGTATGTCAAAGTCTCAGCAGACATATGAGGCTCCAATGCGTTCTTCACATACGGCAGAGGTGGGCACTGGAACGGTCCAGTGACTGACGAGAAGCAACGAGCCAAGCCCATACGGAGGACTGGCGTGGTAGCCAAACTCGCGAAGCGATGACCAGCGACGGATAACATATCAACTTATTGAAACAATAAACTACTGAAAAGACAATCGAAATTATGCGTAAAATATCCCCAAGAAAACGCTGACTCGGGTCGACTACTCCGAAGAGCCAATCGCAATGCCTAGACATGACCCATGTGAAGGACACTATTCACCATGACGAAAGCATTGCGAAAACGCGACCTCGCAAGGGGAATGATTTGCGAACAAGAACAGTTAAAGTAAGTTGTGAGACAAAACACACCGAGTTGATCTGAATTGTTGATAGACAATACGATGCGCTAAAAGCAATGATACTGTCACAAAGCTGCACAGGGACATGCTTCGTGCGATAGATATCAGCCTCGTAATGATTAAGTTCGGACTACGCGGTCCCTAATGCAATCGAAACCGCGCGCGTCCCTACGGTAGTATCCCAAGCCGTACAGTTCAAATTCGGCACTTTTCAACTCGGGCACTTTTTTTCGTACAATTCCCGGCTCGGACACCGTCTTTCGGGCAATATAATCCCAGACACTATTAGGCGAGTTTTCTCAGACAATTCCAAAGTCGTACAATGTAACGGAAAACTCTCGTGCACTTTAATCCCATACAGTGCAAACTCATGCAGTGTTAACTCATCCACCCGATTTTTTTCACTATAGTTTCGCGAATCACTCGCGAGAATAGTGAAAGAAATCGCGCGCGCTTCGCGCGCGCCCTGCAAATTGGTGACTCGCATTAGTCCTGCGAGGGATCGAACTCACGACCTCCAGGATGTTAATCAGCATGTCTGACCATTACGTCAAAAAGCCATACTAAATTTTGTACTTTGTTCTTGTCTTGTCCCTGATCAACTTCTACGACCGTTACATGGCGCTTAAGCCCTCGTCACTAGTACTACTGTTCGACACTGTCTTTCGGGGAAATAGATTCATTTGTCTCGGCACTCGTGAGAATCTGAAACTTCTCACTTTGGGTGGAGTCGAAATCTACTGTGATGGCACGTTCAAATGTTCCTCCAGTTTGTTCCGCCAATTGTATGGGATTCATGTGAAGAAGAGCAATTATGGTTCGCCCGTTATTCTGTGTTTTTTACAAGCGAAAACTAAGCAAATTTATGTGGATTTTTGGTATTTACTTGATGAGAAATGCCGTGATCTCTTCGGAGATGGCCTCAACATTGAACACGTGATTCTTGATTTCGAAAGTGGCATGATTCGAGCCATACAAGCTCTAATGCCACAGACCATCATAAGTCCTTGCTTGTACCACTGGGCAGCAGCTCTCTATCGTAATCTCTGTAACCTTTGCGAGGCATTCCACCACACATTAAATTCTCTGTGTGTTACTTCGACTCCTACTTTCTATTATATTTTACATATCATAGTGGACGAGTTCGACGAGTTCGCTTAGCGAACATCCTAGCGAACATCGCTAGGATGTTCTCCAGAATAGAGCAAGGCGATGCTCTCGTAAAGTCACCACCAATAGAAAGAACACTGAGGGTACCTTGGAGAGAGCATATGCTGCGACGTTCCCGGAGTACGGCGGCAAGTGTTGGGCTGCGACGCCCATCAGATTAGTGGATGAGAAATATATACAGTATCTCCGGAGCTGTAGCGCTACTCTTGAAAGGAGCAAGTCCCCTGATAAGGTAGCTCAGCCTGAGAATCAACAAGCTTCCACCCTATCCTCTGATGAAGTGTTCATCACCGTGAACGATATCTATGACTGAGCATTGAATAAATGACGAACGTGTGAAGTCTTTTTGTTGACGAGAACACACAAAAGTGTGGCAATGATATCGTGATGATACTTGTGAAGTTTCGTTTAACTATACCCAGTCCTTGAGTTGGTCGAGTGGACCGCTTTGAACTGCCTCAGTTGGCACTGCCCGAAGGGTGAGCGAGGAATCCAATGCACCAGTTTCCACTGTCCGGATTGGTACGGCTTCGTCGCCGGTTTCTGCCCCAGTTTCAACTGTCCGGAATTGAACTGCCCGAAAATCATGAAACGCATTCACCGATTGCCCGAGTTGAAAAGTGCCGAATTTGAACTGTACGGCTTGGGATACACCCGTCCCTACGGCGCAAGATCGAACGAAGAGCAGAGTCTGCCCACCCTTCTTCCTGGAATCCATGGTTCGGCTGCGGTTCCGGCGACAGTTACTAGAATTGCTCAGATCGAGACTGAGATTGTTGTTTTGCACTCATTCACCTCACGACTGGGGAAGACTTCCAAACTGAACTTCAGTTACTGAAGTCGTACTTCCGACATCACATCGGTATCTGCATGGATAGTGCCGCGATGGGATAAGATAACGGGGACACACGGGCGACGACGACGAGCAGAAGTTGACAATACAAAAGTCTTGTATTGTCAACTTCTGCTCGGAGTCTTGTAACAAGACATACCCCAAAACTACTCGGAGTTGCTCCCGCAATAGTAGGAAGATCAATTCCGTGGGGCTGTTGTGATGGGGGGATCGTCAAGTGATCGTAAGGATTCCGGATAACTCTACACGAAAAGGCTAAAGAAGAGCTGCTACACTGTGTTGGAGACGGTGGTGATACCAGCTCTGACGCGCAGACAAAAAGAGGAATCACCAGGATCTTCAGGATCCTAGCGGATAATTACATCAGCCCAAGGATCTGTAGAGATTGTCCCTGCTTTATAATTATCTGTCTTCGAATTTTGTGTTAGCTGTGTCATTTTAACGTGACGCTAGATCACGTACATATAAGGTTTTAGCTATGTAAGTTGTATTCGTAAACCTACTACTTCTATCCACTACAAGTATACTATTAAGAAGGCCGTACGTCTATATAGCAAGATATACAGCAATGTTCCGATAGACAGCATGTCCGGTCGCCTTGTAGTGTAGTCCTGCCCCGACACTGGAGTACTGCCACGGTGGCAGTGCCACCACGAAGAGGGAAAACTTGCGCAGCCGTTCTGACAAAAAATGACACCCTTTTCACCACTTCTGCCAGTTATAGATGGGCAGAATTACGTTACGGGCCGTTACGGCTCAATTTTACGGTTACGCTTCAAGCCCCGTGCCGTAAAATTTCGGCGCCGTAACGGGTCTTGCGGAGATGCAGAGGACAAAACGAGGATTGATAATTCAAGTCGCCTAAATCTATTTCATGTGAATGCCCATCGGTAGACGAAGCCGGCTCGGCAGTTCCGGACCAGCCTGGGAGTAAGACGGACGGAATTTGCAAAGGAGACGAGTGGCAAATGCGAAACCAAAGGCTACTCTCTCAGCGGCTCGGTTGAATTCGAGCCACAAGAAATGAGTTTAACAACCGTTTGAGCTATCGTGGATTGTATTACAGCGAATCTTTCCGCCACAATTTTAAAAAAGCAGTTCAGCACCAACCGTAAAGTCGTAAGGCCTTTCCGTAACCATAAACTGCTTACGTTACGCACGCTGTAACGTAAACCGTAAGAAAACGTTACGCTGCCCATCTACACTGCCAGTCTCTCCGAGTTCGGGTCTCGCGTCCAAGTTCGGCAGTGCAGATGCGCCCGCTTCTCGTATTTCGAAAGTTGGTCAATTGATCCGTCAATCTCAAGAACCATAGTTGAATATACTTAAAATACGTCGCTAATCAAAATGGGGCCGTTAGATAGTCCCGGTTTTGCCTCTCCATTTATGTCGGATATAGATTGCATGAACATGACCTGATACATTACTGGTCTGTTCATTCTGAATCAGTTAGGAGAATGAATCATTCTCAGTTATGGATTGCCATCCTGACCAGAGTGGCGCTCAGAGCACTTGCGCGCAGTTCCGGGAGGTGGGTCTCTCAGGTTCATCATTTCAGTCTTAGCTTCGTACACTGAAAGCTCGTATTGGTCAGGTACAGGAGATCTGGAGCAACCTGAAGGACATCCTTCATCGGGGTATTCGAGCTTTCGCTGAGCGGAATCCGCTCCACTGGTCCTTTGCAGTGTCCAAGCCCGGCGAAGGCTGGGTAGCCGGGCGCAGTCGAGTTTTCGATCGGTTGGGAAATCGGAGCGGAAGGGGTTCTGGCCTCCCAGGAAATTTTAGCGCCTCAATTGGAGGTTCGATGACATGCAAAGCGCGTTGAAGTGCAGATGTCACGAAAAAAATGTAATTAGCGCTCTCCCAAATAAATGGCGCGCCCGAAGCGATTTGGCTTTGTGTGACTGTACACGTGAGGACACGTGAAAGCACATCTACCAGAGACGTGGCGCCGTGTTGCGTAAACGCCGGCGGATTTTCCCACCTAGTTATACCTAGTACTTATTCGAAACCCGAATGGCACAGCAAGCCAATGATTTTTTGCGAGGGGTGGAGCCGCGTTTGCTTCCTCCACAAGGTTTCGAGGGCGGTGGAGCTTCGGGAAGAATAACAGCAAGACGCCGAGAACGTTGCGGACCAGCCATTGTGAGATTGAACTGGTGGCTCGATCATTATTTTGACAGAAACAATGTAAGATCGATGTTCGGGTGCGGGTTTCGGGTTTCATAGCATCTCTTCAGTTTCCTCCTCTGTTGCGAAGAGAATACTTGGCCGCTTACATGAAGTGGAGAGTAGTTGGCCCGACGTAAGCTAAGCGATCTTATTTCTTGTAGTGCTTTCCTTTCTAGTCTCAATGACCAAGATAATTATGGAGCCAAGGTCAGAGGGAGAACACTGGTCCAAGACGAACTTCCGAGATTGATCCGGTTGGCTCATGCCGAGCGGCCTGATTGGTGCCCATATCGGAACACAGCAGACTTGGAAGATCCTGAGTTTATCGGGGAGGATCAATCAGGACGAGCAGAAGTAGGCCGTCTCCGGGTATCTTTTCTTCGGCACCCCTTAGTTCCAACCTGCAGGTAATAACCGTCACGAAGGATGTCTTGCGGAACTGGTTCAAAGAGCCAACCCAAGGCGAAGGGGCACACACGAGACCCATGTGGCCCTGTGACGAGACCCGGGTGATTCGGGTTCTTCCCAAGACAATAGAAGCATACTTCTGAACTTTTCGAGTTTCGAGGCTCGATCTCGAATCGATTCGGTCCCAGAGGTTATACAATCGATTGGTCCAATATCGATACCGGTAACCGAGAATCGATCTCGAATCGATTCTTTCGATTTAGGGGCGCCGGTTCGATCCAAGGCTCCGGCATTTTTATGTATTTTCTATTTCGAAAAGTTGCGCACAATGGAACCACTGAAACCCGGCACCTGCTCATCCGCGCCCCTAGATTCGTCGCCCCTAAGGTACTCAATCCGCCCCTAAATTGCCCAATCCGCCCCTAAATGACTCGTACCGGCCCCTAACTTTTCAAGCTACCCGAGCGTCCCTGAAGCTTCACTGCAAGCATGTCACGTGGCTTTGTTGACTGCCATGACATCTTGAGGAAAACTCATGTGCATCACGCTTGACCCTGGCCGTCTGAAAGATACATGTTCGAACTTGACCAGCCACTGGCTTGAACGTTTCGAAACCTTGGCCGACGCAATGATCAATCTAGTTTCGCATCGTTGTGTTGAGCCGTGCTATCTACTGATCTTGGCCGGCGGCCAATGGCCGCCCTGAACACGTACTGAGCGTACTGAACTCCACCACGTAACTACATTTATTAGCTAAGCACACTGGTATGGGTCACTGAGACAGAAACTGTGCCATGTATGTCAGTCTCAGAGAAGCTGTAACGATAGCGGATGACTCATCCAACTTTAGAACGCATGTGGCATATTTAGGGGCGGATTGAGTAATTTAGGGGCGGGGCGAAGAATCCGGATTTTTGAACCTATGCTATATGCGATAACTATTAGAGTTATTAGGCTACTTAGTAGCCGCTACTAGGGATATTGAATTTGCGGTGTGGATTATGCTCAGAAATAGTATTTGGATAATCTTCTTCTGAATTACCGAAGAACAATCTCGAGGGTTCGTCGAGGCTCGAGGCAAACGCGCAATCTGACCGAACCCGGGGAATACCATCCTTCCGACCCGGGGAATCGGCATCTGCAGAATATCTGGCTGTCGCCGCAATTGGCAGCGTGCCACAGCAAAGCGATTCGCCTCGGGCGAACAGCAAGGTCGTGCGCGGATATTCAGTATCTCGCTGATGGAGTCTATCCGAGTCAGATAATCAGACAGCCTCCCAGTGCCTGTGGCTATCAACTGAGCGGTCTAGCCTCGACCCTTACTTTTTCTTCTCGTGGAAGTGCTTTGCTAAAGGCATCCTGAATTGTTGCAATAATATGACAGGTGCTGTAGACCCTATAAGTAACCCTCAATGCTGACGTAGAAGAGCATTTCAATGAATTTCGAGTTTCGAGGTGGATCGATTCCTCGAATCGAATCGATTCGTCTGCCCGCCGCAGCATCCTCGATTGATTAGCACCGAACAATCGATCGATTTTCGATATCTCGATCCAATCGAGCCTCGGTCCGATGTATGAATAGAAGTAAGTCTCAAGGTTGTAGAGTATACGATCTTCCTGTCGTGTTTACAATAAGTATTAGAGTAGCGGAATATACCTAAGTTTTTGAATTCCACACGGAGCTCACAGAAATTTCTAATTGGTTCTGCGCCTTTAAAAGGAGTTTTTTTAATCCTTATAAAATACTCTGCAAGGTTGGTACTTAACTCAATAACGTCTTTTAGGGGATCCAGATTGCTGTTATTATTCGGTTATGCTGTGCTACTGGGGCTAGGGTAGCCGACATGCTGGCTATGCGACGTTATCATGTCCAGACAACTGCAGAAGAACAGGCAGGACTTCACGGACAGGAGCTACAATTACGATGGTGTAAGCAGATTCTCACTCTCTAAGTACATATTTATCAATGTCAGGTCCTCGCATGCTCCTAGCCCCGAGAGTTTCGTCCGACTACTGACGGGCAAGAAGTAACCTTAGCGACAAAGTTACGGGGTATATTCGCCCATATGAGAAACCGAGTTTCATTGGTTGAGTGTGTTGACTCAACACTGTTGAGTCTGTCATCTGTTTGTATTTCAATGATCGATTATTCAAGTATCCAATGAGCACTGCAACTTGCGCAAAATAGGCAAGATCTGCAAAATGTTGCGTTACATGCCCTCAGGTGAGATAAATCGGGCCAACTAAACCCCTCAGTCTCTGCATCATCGCTGATCCCCTACTCCATTGTCTAAACCATAGCCTGTGTGTGATGCAATGACGTATAATGTACGGGTTTCGGAAAACACCATGTCTCATTAATGCCGATGTGTTGGAGTTGCGATCGTAGCTATTGTGTAATCGCTATTCGTAATATTGATTTAGTATCAAACATTACTTTCAACACGAGACACAAGGAGGCTGCTTGCATCGGTGCACTCATACTTTTCCTTATCAAACATGCTACGCTGGAGCAAATTCAGCCAGTTCATTAGGCGCAAATCACGAACTTCTCAGTTTTTTGTTAGGCTCATGGGATACATCTGCTAGGTAGTGGTAGTAGTTGCAGGAAAAGTGAGTAAAGCTAAGTAGTCAGCAGAACGCTAGACGACTAAGCCTTAAAAATTGTAAGTTACAATGCCACCGTTGTCGTTGGCCAATACCAACTGGTCCAACGCAAAAGCGAGCGTTAATAGCTTGAGCAATAGTCATCGATGGTCCTTATATAGTGGCTCAAGGACTAGTAGTAGTCAAACCAGTTTTAATCACTAAGTCTAATGTAGACGAGAACTAGTAGTTTTAACAGAACCAACTAGAACGAGTAGTTCCGAGAACTCTAGTTATAACCACGTAGAAAAAGTAGTTCAATAGTTTTTCGTTAATACAGTAAAAGCAGTAGTTCAATAGTAGCCGTTTCAGAAATCTAGTCGTTTTGGATCTTGCCCTGTGGCGCACGCGAGCTGCCGGGTCGCGCAACGTATTCGACGATCCGAATCCGGCTGCGCGATTGAATGCCAGGCTTTCAAGTTGAAAGCCTCAGACATTCTGAGCTGCTCAGAATGTCTCCGCTGTCACAGCGGCGCTGTGGACGAAGATGGATATAGATGCGAACTACGTGATAAGGTGTCTTATTCTATTTTATTTAACATTGTTATCCATGATAGATGGAATCTGTTGGATCCAACCATGAACAGACGCAAGGGCGACTATCATGAGGAGAATACATAGTAAAGTAGGACTTAGTGCGCTTATTCGTCCACGATGTTCACCACGAAGCCCTTGAAACGTGCAAGGATTATTTGGCATCAGTTCGGAACGGCTACTATTTTCGCTTCTCCAAAATCCTTGAAAACCCACTGAGCTGACTTTCGCGGACCGAGTCAGCTGGTAGATGAACCTCCACGAGCGGATGCTAGCACTGCTCTAGACGGACGGTTGGTTACATAGGTGGAGGCTTCATCGTGAAGCGGCACAAATATTTTCTTGACGCTAGTTCCACAGGCGACCTTAGGTCGCCTACCTATACTCAAGTCTGTCGGAGTCATCGGTTACCGGTGTTCAACACCGGGTGTTGATGACAAGGGTGACAAGGCTTGCTGATAATTGCGAAAAACACTCTAAATAGACGTCTCGACTACCTGGGCATGGCGATCACTTCTGTGGATTGCTAGGCACTCAGGCAAGGTAACATTTACCATGAGTAATAGTTGCTCGTGTTGTTCTGGTACGTCAACAACACGCGAATCTCCTCCGGTTGGTTCATCCGAGGTAAATCACCTCGACGATGATGACCTAGAGCTGCCATCTCACTTCCCTTAGAGAAGTTCTCTAACCAAGTGACGCAAGTGTGCGTTGTATAGTCGCGTCAATGCGTTGACATGAGAAGATATCTCCGAGTTGGAGGATCCAACTCACAATGACTGCACAAGGTTGGTCATTTATGACCACGACGAGGAGCGCTAAGGTCGAAAGTCGATCTCTGTTCTTTAGGATCCATTTTTCGGGATTCTGCTTCTCCGCGTGGTTTTCACAATGTAAGAACCCACGTCATGGGCTGGATCAGCAATGACTGACTCCCACATCCTATGCTCACTTACTCCTCGGACTAAGCACTGTCGAGACCTTGAACATCAGGCTGATTTAATCAGCAGATGCCATACATGTAAGGCATCCCCATACGCCTAGAGACTCTATAGTATAGAGCCTTCCATTAAGCTGTTTGCATCAATCGAGCACAAAAAAAATGATTCTTGAACATCGAAACTCGTAGTTTAGAGTTTATGGTACAGAATGGTCTGTAATCGTCCATACGTCAGAAAGGGAATTCATCTAATCAACTCTTCCTTCGTCTGCGTGGACGTTGTGCCATCGACGTGCTCTGTGGTTGTCGTAGTCCTGAGTATCTGTAGCAAAACAGTCTGAATTCGGGCACAAGGGTTCAGTGATTGACCTTCTTGCCATTCTTAGTAACTACTTCCTGCTTGGTGGACGTGTGCACAGCGGCGGGCCCTTCGTTCTTCGAAGAAGTTGCTAAGAACAGAAATATAAAAAACATTCGCGGCGTGATCAACAGGTCAGAGAATACGTCAAGAAAAGGAAGTATAAGACTTTTCCGATTCTCGAGCAAGTCAAAACGAGCCAGCAGATGCAGCTATCCGCTAAGAAGTGTAAATAGAAGGTAGTGGTGTAAATGGCATGAGAGTTGTGTTTTATGTGGTGATGCTCGATGAACAGAAGTAATAGTTCTAACCAGTCAATACACAGGCCGTCCCTTCCACTCGTACCCCAAAAGAAGGCGGAGGGGACCAGCAATGCAGCAGCGGCGGCAAATAGACGACGTAGGAGCTGTGGGGCTCGCCTCATCGCGCCTGAAATACCAAACTATGGAGCCACAAAGGCAAGGACCACCACGCACGGACCCTACGTGAACGGAGCATCTTTCTTAACATCTTCGCACCGAACATGTCGAACCCAAACCGCGCGACTTCAAAACCTTGCCGTAGCGTATCTGAGATATACTGTTTCGACAAGGAGTTGTGACTCACAACTGAGAACCAACA